ATAATATAACCACTTAATTAGTTTATTGTTTATAAATCTAACTGACTGTTAAACTTGATTTTAAAAATATTCCCCATGCCTTTCCTTTCTTATAACATCCCAGATATCCAGATAATAGATACTGTACAACAGTTATTAAATGTATTATCATTCAGGGTTCTCAAGAGCTAGATACTTCAGTAACTGAAACACACTGTGCAGTCTGGCAGTTTATATCCTGCTTAATGGGCAGTGTGATCTTTATCAGCATTGGCTGACCTTTAAACAGAATGCAACACTTTAATCCCTTACAGCAGTTTAATGTCTTTATTTGTAAAGATGGTCAGTCCCAGTGAAGCAGTGCTTCCCACAGACTTTAAGGCAAACCCAGTGAACATTTGATTTCTGAACCACAAGAAGAAACACGATTTAACAAAATAAGCAAAAGATAAAGTGACTCCAAAAATCTTTTTTAGGTTATTTTTGGCACAATTATCCTGAATATGCTGCATTCTTTGTCATAACTTCTTATCACAGCACACATATATTTGAAGGATCTTGGTGGAAGTTGTGGTCACCAGTATATTAGAGGTGATTAGACCTTTATCACCACCTTACAGCATTCAACAGTACATTAAGTGAGGCTATAGAGAAATACAATTCATTTAGCAGATGATTTTATTCAAAGCGAGGTACATCAGAGAGTAAGTTCAACACAAGCAAGAATCTAGAGAGGAACAGACATCATCAGTAAGTGCAAACGGACAGCTTTAGGTGCTCACAGGCATTGCACAGAGGCAACGCACAACATCGTCAGCTGTTCTTTAGTTATAATCAGCATCAAAACTATCCTAAAATATTGTCATTACCAAACAAAACCATCGTCGTCGTCATCATCATCACTATTGTCATCAATAATATTAAGTTTGTAGGTGTTCATGAAAGAGCTGGGTCTTTAGCTTTCTCTTAAAGGTGCAAAGGGACTCTGCCAATCAAATGGAGTTTGGAAGTTTGTTCCACCACCGGGGGGCGACAGGAGAGGTGTCCAGTTAGAGACTTAGGACACTGTTGTGATCTTGGTGCATTTGCTGTCTAAGAAGTAAGAAAACATAATGAAACAAACAAAAGCAGTGTGCATAGTTGATTAAGAAATGATCTCTCTCTGGTGCATTAACAGCTTGAAAGCCCCATGTCAAAGGACTCTGAAGGCAAACCCAGCTGTTTAGATGCATGTTAAGAAAATGTGCAACAGTTGAGCTCCAATGTCTGCATTTAAAAGACTTGAAGAAGTAGGAAGAAAAGGCCAACTTTAAAGAGAGTCAGTACTGCTTTATCTTGGAGACTCTAAGAGTTATAACTCTCATTAAACACTCCAACAGGCAACAGAGTACGACTGTGAAGCACATCACGCTGCTGCACCAGAGAGATCTGATACTGACATTTAGACTCTTTTTAGTATAAAAGCATTATTGTAGATTTAGAAATGAAAGAAACAGAGAGGGTGCGAGAGATGGTGAGAGGGGTGGGGGTGGCCTGCGTCTGTTCTGGTGTGGTTTCGGGGAGTTATTTGGTGTTAAAATATGCCTTAATGGTTGCTGGGGATCCATTTATTACAGGCAGGAAGCAGAAGGGGGTTTCTCTTCTCATTTAATGTGACCGCTGAGAAGCTCGCCAAGTCCTACAGGCAAGCCAGCATTCCTCTGCACCAACGCAACACACACACACACAAATACACACAGAGTCGGCTATGTATACACGCATAATTATACTGTGGAGCATGTAAATGAAGCTTATGTTTGCATGTGTGTAGATGCAAAGACGCATAATCTTTAAAACATACACACATCCCAATGCTTTTAGAAATAGCTTGCAACATGTGCATATGCATAAATGCACACACACAAATAGACTGCGGTCTCTGGCAGTGAGAATGACCTTTTCTGAACCATGGTAACACACACACGCATAAAAAAAAAAAGTCTCTGCAAAACATTTAAGCATGGCAGTGCTGAGGTATAATAAAAAGCCTCTTGAGGTCTTATTACTTCACTTTGTTTTTCAGTCGTGAAGCTCGGTTTCTCTCCTTCTCACTCATCCCTCCTCTCTCTGTGCTCGTAAGGTTTTCACTCACTTCCCGTCCCTCATCCATCTGTCACTTTGTCGGGCACAGACACAGCTCTCTTCTCTCCATCACACTTCTCTTCCCTTCTTTCGGTCCTTCTCACTTCCTCTGTGTCCGTCCAATTCAGATCCAGATACAGCTCGACACCCTTTCCCTCGGCATTAGAGAGGGCGTGTTAACACCTTCTCCCACACACACACACACGCCAGGGCCTACAGACCCCATTTATGAAGTGTATGGCTCCTGGCGAATGAGTGCACATGCACACATGAAGAGCGATAAAATGCTAGATTCTATAATTTCGGAAAAGTCATGATTTTCTTGCAGGAGTTTGGTTTCATATTTTTTTTAGCATTTTTTGAACCACTAATGGTGGCCTGCCTCCATGTGTGAGGCATATTAATAAATATTGTGTTGAAACTAGTGTAAAGTGTGTTTGTTTTTGCTGAATGTGTGTTTTAAAATGTTGGCATAGTCACCTAAAGGGAAAAAAAGTAGTGTGCACGGGTTCACACCTAACAGAAGAAAATGTGATGGCTACTGGAACAGCATATGTTTGTGCCAGAATCGTATTAAAGAGCACTAATAATGTTTAAAAGAAATAAGGAAACTGTAGAAGCTTCACGCGGCCGCTACTGTCGCTCAGTTCAAGGTTGCATAAGTTTGTGTGTGTGAGTGTATCGGTTACATGGCGGATATAAGGCTCTATCCCTCCTTTCATCAGCTGAGTGAGGAAGAATCAAGCATCGACACACTGCAATCTGACCCTGACACACACACACACACATAGTCTCACACACTTTAAAAACACACAGTAGCAGAAAAGCAGCCATATTTCAATGCTGGCCATCACTCATCAGCACAAAAACCTCACCACCACTTTCCATTGATCACTGTCATAACACAAGCCTCTGTAACCACGGTCAGTTTTTCCAGTATTATCCTATCATCATATCATCAATTTAAGTTGAAGGCCTCACAGCTTTAGTTTGTTTTTATTTGGGATTATCTGTGTTATCATGTAAACTCACCGTTCAAGTACAATCATTAAAACCATCATGTTTGGAACCAGACTTTATGGTCATAGTAAGTAGACATCTGCTCTGGTGAAGGCTTGTAAACAAAGAAACTCAATCCGCCCCGGCTATATGGGAGCCGTTCTGTTGTTGACCATGACCGGTAACCTTCAGGGCCAAAGAAAAGATAATGACCCTGCAGAGGTCAACAGTAAAGTATTCTTGTAGGGAATCATTACTGCTCTATGAACTTGATTTCTAGTTGATTATTCAATCAAAACTCATGCTGTAATGAACATATTTAATATTGTATTGTTACTTTTGCAGCTCGGATCAAATTCAAAAACCCTGTTCATCACTTGAAAAAAAGCAACCAAACAGCCCAGTCTTTATTCAGGTCTACACTCCCTCCAGCCCACTATGTTCTGCAAATGAGTGGCGCCATGTCGTCCCTTCACAACAGGGCCCTAAGTCTCTAGCTAGCTCTTCTCCTCTGTATTCCCCCTGGTGTGGAATGAGTTATAAAACTCCATTCGATCTGCAGAGTCTCTTTTCACCTTTAAGAGAAAGCTAAAGACCCAGCTCTTTCATGAACACCTATGAACTTAATATTATTGATGACAATAGTGATGATGATGACGACGATGGTTTTGTTTGGTAATGACGATATTTAAGGATAGTTCTGATGCTGATTATAACTCTTATAAAGCTCAAGACCCAGCACTTTCAAAAACACCTATACAGGCTTAATGATATTGATGCTACTGATGATATTGAGGAAGTTGATTAAAATATTCATCATGAGGATGATGATGTTGGGGAAGCTGTGAATGTTATTATTGATGATGATGATAAAGATCTACTTCTAAACACTCGTCGACTCTGTACAACCAAACTTGAAGCTTTTTGTAAACATTGACACTAACATTATTTCCTCCTGTCTTGATCCTTGCTTGTATCGTCAGATGTGCGTCACTTTAGCCAAAAGCGTCTGTCTGCTTGTTAGCTCTCTTATGTCTGTACCAAAACAAAGATTTACAATGAGTGATACATTTCACTGTTTAAAGAGAGCATGATGAGATTTTTTGGGTCAGAAAAAAGATCAACGAAGAGAGAGAAGACGTACCACTTTGTCTACAGGGGGGCACAAATCGTCACAGATCAAAAAAATCCCAACAGGAGCTTAAAACTGTCATATTGAAAAAGTTTGGTCCCATACACTTGAAAACAAATATCCAAGGCTTTAAATTTTAGAGTCAACCAAACCCCATCTGTCTGTCTTCCTCTAACCCGTACTCATCAGTGTGTCCCAACAACTCTGAGGCATCCTCACCTGATTTTATCAGTCTCGAAGGGGCTGAATTGAAAATATAAATAGATTACAAAGGCAACCAAAGGAAGTAGAGTAATAGAGTTTAAGTGGTTACTGTGTAACTGTGAGTATGTGTGCAGCTTGGTGTGTGCAGAGGGGGGGTAATTACGGTGTTGAATGTCCTCCTCATCAGTGCAGCTGACCTGAGAACACAACAGTTAATCATCCACTAACCGGCAGAGAGAGACGGAGCGAGAGAAACAGAAAGGAGCTGTTGCTGCATACACCGTGAGAGAGAGAAACTTTGAGGCTCCTGTATTTATTCAAAGATCACATAAAACAAGAAGAAAAGAGGAGTCCTCCATCAGACAGTCTGGAGTAAAGGATCCACTTACCTGAGAGTGCGAGGACAACGAATATGCACACACCTGCTCCTGAGGGAGACTTTTTTAGAAGCAGTCAACCAGTGTGTGTGTTGGTATGTTAGCCTTGTGTAGATTGTCTTCTTTTTGGATTTGACTGTGTGTGTGAGGGGCAGCCACATGGGGCCCGGGCCCTGTCCCTGTCCTGGATGCCAGCTGCAGCAGTGAAGCCCTCTCCAGAGGACATGGTGGCCGAAGGAGGGGGTGAAGGAGAGCGCGGCGTGTCCCAGTGGGAAGCCTCTGCACTGGGCCGGGAGCGTCTCTCTCTGCCCTCTCTGAAGGTCCCCAGGGAGCTGCTGCGGAGCTTTCCCCACTCCAAACGGGTCGGCTCCTATCTGGTGGGGAAGATGATCAACAAGGGATCGTTTGCCAAAGTGATGGAGGGGCTGCACATCGGCACGGGGGAGAAGGTTGGTTTTACCCGCTGATTTGAAAGATTAAGAGACTGAGGAAATGAAGTGTAATGGCTCAGATTGGAGGGTGACATATTGGCATGAAAAAGATCACACACTAACAAGATTATGAGTACACAGTAACAAGCTGTACTTTGTGGATTGTAACTGATAATTATACCCACTTTGGTCGGAAGAACACAAACCCTTTTAGTATTCTTGTTATGTGTACAAAAAACAGTCATACCATCTGCAATTACTTTTTTTTATAACCGTGACTGTTAAGGGGATTTTTTTTGGAAACAAATCTTTAAAAGTGTTTAAAGTAGATCTGTTCCTGTTATATCTGGAATTCTAAAAACAAAATGTATACAGATCAAAAGCAGAATAAAAACAAAGCTGTGTTAGTGTGAGTACAAAGTTGTGATCAATGTTGTCATTTGTTGTGAAGATGCCAAAGCAACTATTGCATTCAGGGAAAGTATAGGTAGTATTTTCATCAAATGTTACTCTATTCTTGCAAGTAATTAAAAACAAACCCATGACTATGTTTGTTATTGTTTTGTCCATTTCTGATGTTGTGGCTCTTAACCGGCAGAATAGTTTTACTTCCACAGCAGAGGCCAGGTCTGTGTGTGTATCTGATGGAAAATATATGGGTAACTTTCTTTCATCAGTCACACTGAGTCTGACCCTGGCTCATGTGTACCTGACCTTGTTGCCATGGTGACGACCAAACTCACCCATGGGGGTGTTTGCTCCACTTAACCCTGGTTACCCTCGACAGGTTCGACACCTGTGGAGGTCAAGGCTGCCAATAAGCAAACACACACTGTTGTAGACTAAAGGAGATTTTTATTTGATGGATTTTTATTTATTTATTTTCTACACACAGCGGAGTGTAAAACGATACCCTTAAACTTTACCTACAATATACCGTCATTCATACACATTTTTCTTTCTTGTGTAGGCCAGGTGTTGTTGGTGTTTTTTGTATGGTTTATTTTTCTGCTCTTTATTATCTTAAAGGCCAAAGTTATCCACAAAAGTGCAATAAGTGAATTGTAAAAGACTTCAAGCTACCATCAATCAGCAACTTACCAATCAGTTAAGATTTCGGGAACTGTAATTTGTTTTCAGTTATCCTATTGTTTTTTCACCAAACCTTCAAAAAGATCACGTTTTTAGCATCAATTAACATAGACTGAAGTTAGATTCAGAGGCCAAAAAGGGCTCATGACTTCTGCCACTGGACAAAATGTCTGAGTTAAGCTTAAAATGCAAATCCTTTAAAAACCAGTCTAACTGATCAGAGGTCATGTTGATTTCTGTTTCTGTTTACATTACAACAATGTGGTCATCAGAACACCTCCAAATAGAGAGTTCTCATTTTTTGTGTGTTAAGGTGGCCATAAAAGTGATCGACAAGAAGAAAGCCCGACAGGATTCTTACGTGCTGAAGAACATGAAGAGAGAACCTCGAATTCATCAGATGGTGCGACATCCTCATATTGTCGTCCTGCTAGAGGTAAATGAAATTAAACTTTAGCACAATTTCACATAAACACATCACAGACACAAACAAACCATCAGAAATGCATACAAGTAGTGGACAGTTTTTTTTAGTATTAACATTGGTTTAAAGGTTATCATATATACTGAATATACCGTAGCTGTTGAATAAATGGATCTATGCACATTGATACCCGTGTGTGTGTGTGTGCGTGTGTGTGTCAGACACTGGAGACAGAGAACAGTTACTACATGGCCATGGAGCTGTGTGCAGGAGGAGACCTGATGGACAGGATCTGTGAGAGGAAGAGGCTGGAGGAGAGGGAGGTGCGGCGCTACACCCGCCAGATCCTCTCTGCAGTGGATCACCTGCACAAACATGGCATCGTACACAGGTGAGACTACAGCACACACACACACTCATACACAGTGTACTCTTTGCATTGTGACAGCAGTATTTCTTAGGCCTTTTTCTTTTTGTCTTTTTTGTAATTTTTATACAAATCAAATACAGCTGAGACCATGCATAGTTAGGCCCCCTTCATGAGTCATGTGTAAAACTTAAATAAGGACATGTGAGCAGATACAGAATGGCCTCTGGATGACCTACTTTGAGTTGGGATCAGAAATTACATGAAATTGAAACCTTCTTTACTTTGTTTATAATCCAAATTGTGGAATATTATTTTGTACTGAAGCCTTTATTATCTAGATCAACAGATGAGATTGTCATACTTTTACAGCAACTTAAATATACATCAGAGAGTAAGTACTAATCGATTCATACACCGCCACTGCAGGGTTAAGTGTCTTGCCCAAAGACACATTGGACATGTTGCTCAGCTGGGAATTGAACCCTTGACCTTCTGGTTGAGAGGCGAAAACTCTACTAACTGAGCTGAAGCCGTCCCAATGTGAAAGCATAAATGACCTTCTTTTATTTTTTTGATGGATAAAAGAATAGATTTATGACCTGTCACATATGGAGCTTAACCGGTGCTGTTGGGTAGATTTTGTTAACTTTGAATGCGCCAGGCTAGCTCTTTCCCTCTGTCTTATTCTCAATGCTAACCCTAAGGTAACAACACTGTGAACTCTAGATTAATATTTACCTTACAGACACTAGGGTAGGTAAACATTAGGGTTTAAACCAATTTACCCTTGGTGTTTAATGAAGTACTCCATCCATCAATTCATCCATTCATCCATTCATCTACATACAAAATCTCTGTTAGACATGTAACTAGTGTACCTAGAGGACTGCTGAAATGGCATGTCATGTCTTCAGATATTTGGACATTAATGATGTGAATACATTTAAGAAAGAGTCTCTAATATTACTGTCTACCCAGGACATAGGAGGGCAAATCTACCTGCACACAGTAGCTGTTTGTTGCACGGTGAAGTAAAGGTCAGACTTGTTCATTCAGTCACACACACAAAGTAGTTTGCAGGGCATTAACAGCCTACAGAGGAGGAAACACTAAGAGAAAGGAAATCTGAGAGTTAAGAGTGTTATTTTAATGGCATTCTAGTTTGTGTAGGTGTTACAGACCCAGCTCTCTCTCTCTCTCTGACACACACATACACACTCGTTCAGTGCATCCACACACATGATGCACAGCGCTGGGCTTTAGTTTAGGACCTTGGCTACTCTGAAGGTGGGAATGTGATTACCAGGCAATGACCTCATCATCCTGCGCCGGCGCCATGATTCACACATCATCACAACATCATGGACTTCCTCTCTAATGAAGTCCCTAAACGATGTCGCCTTCAACCCGTCAAAAACACCTCTCTCTGTCTCACACACACACACACACCCACATGCTCACACACTCACACTCTCCACCGCAGTCCTGCACAGAGATGATTAAACTGGAAATAAATGGAAAATTTGCACTTGAATGCACCTCATGCCACCCACATCCAATATGCTCACCGCATACATTTTCTCCTTTATGACAATGTCTGCTCTCGCTCTTTTCTTCCTCTTTTCTTCCTCCGTCTGACTTTCAATTTTTCCTCGGGTTGTGTGAGCCGTGTTTTCTGGATTTTGTGTCTGTTGGTTAGATGAGGGCAGATGAAAGGAGCATGGCTGATTCCCAGGCTAAAGTTTATAGGGGATCTCTCTCTCTCTCTCCTGACCGCACATTTTCATTTAGCTCAGAAGTTTGAGAGCAGACCGTGTGGTTAGCGGTGAGGCTGGGGTTCTTTCAGGGGATTCTGGCGACTTTTCCAGGTGAACACAAAGATACATCTTTGGTTGGAGAAAGGACAATACGTCTAGAAAAACAGTAAGCGCAGAAATACAGTAAAGAGTAGTAGAAGTGAAGTTTAGCTTTACTTAAAAGTTATGATGGATGCTGTCAAAACTAAATAATTCTCTAAAAATGATTCAATGTTCATTCAGAGAAATTGCAAATAAAAAACTGTGATTTTAAAGCTTGACGTCTACCCAAACCCGACTTTAGCCTCCCGTTTTCTTTTTCTTTCTGTGGGTTCATTCCAGTCCAATCTAATCATATTTCTTTAAATAAGTTGAACTAACATTAAAGTCCTGTAAATTGCTCCAGAAGACTCCATAATGAAAACTTACAAAATCCTACAGGGATTTTGTTCAGAGCTCATGAAACTGACCACAGTGAGCCACAATGTTCCCCTTCCTTTAACAGCGTCCTCTCGTCTTTTATTTTGTAGAGATTTAAAGATTGAAAACTTTCTGCTGGACGAACACAACAACATCAAGATTGTGGGTATGTTGACATTCCTGTTTTCTCAAAAGACGTCTGACTTGTTGACACGATGTGTTGGACAGATCAGCGTGGTGAAAGGTGTCTTAACGATTTGGTGCATCTGTTGAAATGCTGATGTTTCACGCAGACTTTGGCCTGAGTAACACTCTGAAGACTGAATCTTTGTCTCTGGAGCTCCTCAGCACGCAGTGTGGAAGTCCTGCCTATGCAGCCCCCGAGCTGCTCGCTCACAGGAAGTATGGACCCAAAGTGGACGTCTGGTCCATGTAAGTGAGAAGTTTGAAGAGTGCCTGTTGAGGATTTCTGTTGTTACGTTTCTTGTTCTTGTTTTACACATTTTTAGACACTAAACCCAATTAAACAGACGTGATTTCTGTGTAAACATCCTTCAAATGTGTTTGTTTCTTTACCCTGTGCCTGTGTGTGCAGAGGTGTGAGTATGTTTGCCATGCTGACAGGGACTCTGCCTTTCACTGTCGAGCCTTTCAACATTAAACAGCTGCACCACAAGATGGTCAGTGGAGAGATCGGCAGCATTCCCAGCGATGTCAGCAAAGGTAACTCCACAATGTACCTGTTTCTCCGAGTGTCTTCTTCACAGAAAACAAGAATTGTGTGAATTAAAAGTAATTAGAATAGTGTGCAGTGCAGTATGTTAGATCAGCAAAACATTTTATAGGATTAATATAGACTTCAGAATCAATTTAAAAACATGAAATATGGAAGCTCTAATAAAATATTTTCAATAGGATGTTCTTTAGTTACACAGTCAGGGCTTCATGTTATTGGATGTGGGATCCTAAACATGCAATATTGTTTGTTAAAGTTGTTCATTTTTCCTTGAGTATTGTGAATAAAAAGTTTAAAAAAATAAAAGGTCTGAAATTGGTCTGGTAGCTGCAGAGTGGCCAGTTCCCTTCCTGAGCACTGAGGCACCAAACCCCTCACCACTCACCAGCTCAGCAGCGCTCGCCCTCATCCTGACATTTAGTGCAGGCCCGTAGGATCCTGTTTGTGCATGTGTGTGTATTTCAGCCTCTGTGTGTGTAGCATGTCTCAATAACAGAGTGTATAAGTGAATTTCCCCTCTAGAGATTAATAAAATATATCTTCTTCTTCTAAATCCTTGAGAACACAAACTGGGATTCAATATTTGTTTCTCCTAACCACAAACCTGTCGAGACGCTGTAGATGGAAAAAATGATTCACTGTTTGTTTTTTTAACTTCTCGTTCTTTAACAAGTACACAGTGGCCTCAGTGTCTCTGTCACTCTCTGCTTTATTTTGGTCTCTCTCTCACATAGTCACTTCGTTACACTCATGGCTCCACATCACCACAAACAAACACAGCTCCTGTTACTGCGGCGGAAAAGGAGTCTGGCTCTGATGCTCAGAAACTGTGTCAAGATCAGATTAGCGGTTACATCGATGCCATAGACGGGTGTCTGAATTGTCAACATTAACTTTCAGACTTCATGCTGCCTCTGTATGGGACTGTATGTTTTTCTTTTAAACCAGTACCACCTTGCTTTTCTTCTGCATCAATATTTCCTGTCATACTTGATCATTTTTAAAGCAGTTACCTCACTTGATTGTTAACTTTAGCGACACTGTTAGCTACGCTTCTTTCGGTTTCATTTGCCTGTTTTGCGCGATAATCTTTCTTTTATGTAAATCCCAATTTTTCCCCCATTTTTGTTATATAATTTTTTCACATCAGTATGAACAGCCGTGTCTTAAGAGTCTATTCCTCCACTAGTTTACTGATAAAAATCAATAGTTGATGCAGTTGATTTAGTCAGTTACAAACAGACCAAATTGATCTCAGACAATCCGTTTTGCCTTGGTTGCAAATTGGATGGAGCAGTCTGAGCTTGTATTTCTGCAAACTCTCTTCCAGGCTGTGGAGCTTATCAGGATTCCCCATCTGGAGTCAAACTGTCAGCTTGGCTGTCACAGGACAGCTCTGTGTCACAGGGTGACAGGTTGAACGAGTTCACCTGAAGGGAAATCCTGCCTCTCTCCATGCTGCTGTCTCTGATACAGTTTCAGTTAAATCACAATGAGTGACATCGGCCCTGTGGTTGGGACTAGCTCTGCGACACTGGCTCTTACATAAATTCTGCAAATCTGGGTGCCAATGTGCCCTTATAAGATAACAACACTGCTTCCTTAAAGCAGGCCAGCGCATGGCCATAATGCGTGTGTGAATACAATTCATTGTGAAGCACTTTGTATTTCATTAGTAGAACATTTAGAAGAACCTTTTTCAAGTGAAATTCAAATTTAATGTCTAATAAGAGACGGTTGTTGACCCATAGTTGTTTGTAACTAGAGATGGCCCAACAACTTTAAAATCTGCTTTATGTCGTTTATTTTGGCCACTTGGAGCTGCAGACAAAAGAGAGTTTGACATTAACATATCACATTTTTAAGTTGTTGTGTCGCACTAACCCAGTTGAGACAAAGCATAAATACTAATTTGATGTTTCTGCCCACCTTGTAAGTTTTCTGGTGACATATCTGACTATTTCACTTTCTAGTTATTTACATTTCTTAAACTTACCATCAGATATGCATCCATCTTTTTTTTCTTTTTTTTCTTTTATGTCAATTTCAAACACAAAATTCACGAACCAAAACAGTGAGCTGAAAGATGCTAAAGCTTTCTGTTAAGTGAAGTAGAACTGCAGAATTGATTGATAAGACTCCCTGGGGGAAGAAGAGTTACATTTCATATCAAACAAACTAAATAATTAACTGAGTACTTAGACAAAATACAGATATCATACAAAGTTAAATTATAAGAACAAATGTCAAACTGCTTCACCCGTGCTTCTTTTTCAGGTGCTGCAGCCTTTGTGCTGTCTCTCCTGGAGCCGGATCCAGATAAGAGACCAAGTGTGAGAGCTGTGATGGAGGAGAGATGGATCAACGAGGGATATGCCAAGAAGCCTCTTCACACCCTCTCGCATAAAAACAGGTACAAATGGTACTCGCATTTTTGAACCATCAAAGCAAAGTGGGACACAAAGTCTCTCCTCTTTCAAAGGTCTACAACAGCAAACATTACAGTTTTGGAAAAAGAACAAGACGGAGATCACTGTGAGATTTCTAACAAAATGAGAATTCTTGTGGTCAGTAGGTTAACAGCTTTGTATATTATTTTAGCAAGGCTTAAAGGCTTTTCTCCATTTACACAGTGTGGAAATGTAATCATGTACGGCTCCTCCTGGCAATGTTGCATTTTCTGAACGGAGTGAATTGAGAAATGTTCCAGCTCTGTTCTGCTCAGCAAACCAAAATGACCAACAAATCCTTACCGGCTGCTCAGATTTCCTCTCTGCCTCAATCTTCACACTTTATATATGACTGTTTTCCCTATCCTTCTCTCATTATTTCCAGACTGTGCCCTGAGGATCTGAACTCGTCTGTGCTCTCCTACATGACAGAGACGCTGGGTTACTCCCTCTCTGAAGTCATACACACACTCACAACCAACAGACCCTCAGCCATCACGGCCTCCTATCATCTGCTCATCAACAAACTCAGTAGGAGTCAGAAAGGAGCCAAGGCCAGCAAGGTTCACACCTCATTTTCAAGCACACACACACACACACACAAAAGCCTGCATCAACACATCTCTTCAGATTCCAGCTATACATGAGTAACCCTCCTGTTGTGTTGTGAAGTTTTAACAGTCACAAATTGTTGTTGATTTGTCAGAAGCTAGAGAGCAATGACTGGAGTCTGCCGAGCAAGAACACATGGAGAGAGAGACATAACAGTGAATCAAAGGCTCAGCAACAGGTAATTTCAACCATCAGCTGTCTAAGCATTGTTAACACAAACACAGTTATCATGTCAGGATGGAATATGATAGCAGGTTATTAGAGGATAAGGCTGGTGTCATGCTGTATTTATTCATCACTTAAGCCCTTTAAAGTTTTTCACCAAAAGTGATTTAGATGGTCTCTGAATACACTCTGACTTTCCCTAGTCTGTCTGTGGTTCATTACTCCTAGGAAGAAATACATCTTTAAAAATCTGGCAGAAATGTATATATATTTAACTTTTTAAAGGCCTTGTGATGTCCTGCATCTGACAACTGTGATTTTTAGCAAGTGTTCTTATGTTGAAATACTGCATTTATTTGAGACCAACATCAACAAATGACAAAAATAATTTTCAGCATTTACATGATCTTAAAGGTGCATAAACTGAATAAACTGCAGTGTCTTCATTCATCAACCAGGTGCTGTGGCCAAGTTACGTTGTTCAATTATCTAATCAAATATTTTAAAAGAGACATTGTGGCTCTGGTTGCTCCATTACAAAGACACTGTCAACAGTCTTTCTTCTATTTCACATAAGAACTCAAACTCCCCACAGTCATTTTTTCCCCCTTGAATTTGCTCTAAAGAAGATCCTAAGAGAAGTCTTACGCAGTTTCATGAAGCTGTTCTCAAACTGCTGAATTGTTAGCACGTGTTTTCTTAAACTTATGAAACCCATGTCTTGGTAAGCCGGTTCTTTTCATATCTGTATTTCTCAGTTTACAATTTTCAGGAAAAATTCCAAGGCTACATAGTTTAGGGAATACCGTCAACTTTACGATTGTAAAAAATGGAAGAATGTCATAAACCTCTGTCCAGAATGCACACATAACTAGTCTGGCCAATTGGCAAGATGACCTTTTTTATGCATTTATATTGCTACAAGCATATCTGCAATATCAACAAAAGAGTGAGAGGCAAGTTCAGCAGTGCAGAGCTTGTGTAAAAGGAGCTTTTGTCATCAAATTGTGCTAGTAGAAACCATTCTTTCAACTAACCACTGCCTGTCTTTAGCATGAACCAGCCAATGGAAAGACCTCAAAGAAGTCCAGCCGACCTCTGAGACAGACAACTGAATACCAGAGCGCCAGGAAGAGGCCTGAAGACTTGCACGTGAGGGACCATCGAGAGGACACGGAGAACCATCCACCCTCTCCTTCTTTACCCAAGCTACCTCACTATTCCTCCCCTTCAATACCACCTCGCCGTCCCTCCCCCTCCCCTGCCCATCTGTCGGCAGAGGAGGGGGCAACTGATGAAGAGATCGCCATCACTGTGGACACCAGGGAGATGCCGCTGTTCCCCGAAGGTAAGGCTTTGAATTAATACAGAAGCAAAATCTTTACACATCCAACGTTTAATTTATTCTATTGCATCTGTATGTTTTTGTTTTTCAGTGTCTCTGTTCGGAGACAGAGAACTCGTCCATCTTTCTCCGCCTAAAAGCTCTGCATCCCAACTCTGTGACTCCGCCCCTTGCCAAGTCCCCTTACCAGCTGAGCCAATCAGAGACAGCAGCACTTCAAAACCAATCAGACATATGCACCCGCTCAGGACGACTCAATCAGACGGGGCTGCAGACCCTGGGTCAGACTGCTTTCATGACAACCGTCACCAGGACGACCACTCTCATCACCTGAGCATCAATGAGCGTCTGGAGAAGTTGCAGACATTTTATTCCTCTGAGAATAATGGCATCTCTCCCAGGATGCTTTTGGAGGCCGACACAAACACCTCAGATAAGGACCATCTGGGTACCATGGAGACAACCCAGAAGTCACCCTCTGCACTGCTGCCCCGCCTGCGCAATGTGGGGCTTAAAGATGGACGAGTTAGGAAGATGACATGGGTAGGGTTGACTCGTCCTGGGCCCCCAGGACTTCTGGTGAACGGGTCTAAACCTCCCGCCTTCCCCCCGCAGAGACAACACACTTTGGTCATTAAGAGTCTAAGACAGGAGAGGGGCAAAAGGAAAGATCTGGTAGCAGCAGGAGGGAGAGACAGGGGGGTGGCTGGAGGAGGAATAAATGGATCAAAAAGGAACTCAGTACAGTTACGTTCATCTCTCCAGCGACAAGTAGCGGACCTGAACCTGCCCCTTCTTCCTTCAGCCCTGCAGGGAAAGACAGATAGGAATAAGAACCAGCTTCACAGCATGGACAACTGAATCATAGATGGGACAACACAAAAGAGAGGCAGCGATAGAGGCCAGAAAGGGGCGCAAAAGCAAGAGGATATCAGATTCAGGTTAGTGGCACATTGGAAAAGCAGATCTGTAATTCAGAAATACTGGCCTGTGTTGTCAAACAATATTCAGGCAAACAAAGTAGCTGTTTTCCTCTGATGTTAAACTCTGGGTGGGTGGCTCAAATGCTGATATTCTGTTGTATGTCTTACGGCTCTGTTCCAGGTTTGCAGATATACATTGGTCATATCGTTATCAAATCATCGCTTCTCTATCTATTCGCAACTAAAAAGACCACTAATGAAAAGCTGGAGCAACATCCAGCAAAGGTAAAACAAGAGTTTTAAAAACCTATTTTCTTCCATTAGACAACGGCTGACGCTAGCATGCAACCACAACTTAGCTAACATCATTAGCTGGTTATCAACACCTTTCCTGTGATATAGTGTAACACTTTTCAAGGAAAGGTAAGCTAGGAAGTGTTTGTTTCAAACAACAATAACGTTGGTAACAACCTCTTCCAGCTTATATCTCTGTTTAAGTTTTAAATTGTATAACGTGACCCTATACAGTAAGCTCAGGAGCGGTTGAATTCTGTCATCAGTGTGGTTTAACTTTAGCATTAAACACTTGCAAAAGTAAACATTAGCAGTGAAGTGACCAATTCAACGCTAGCTGTCGTCTAAAGTAAGCCACCATCAGCCTTTAACCACTTCTAGCTAATGTCGTTTTAGCTGAGAAATGACATAATCGAATGTTATCATGTGCCGTTGTCTAACATTAGCAATCAGTCATTTTGCCTTTTTTCCCCCGTGAACTTTGTAGTAGCCTACGACAAAAAGTAATGTTAGAAAGAGGCTGAATTGTTTTCTGGATCGTCATTATTCATGGTCTTTACTGGGGCAGATCAGAGAAGCAGTTCATTAGTAGATTTAGATGACCTTCATTTATAGAATATATCAAACCTGAAACACAGCAGTACAACAGACAAAATAGTTTCAAAAAGAGAAGACAGCTAACTGAGCCATAAAAAAGTTTCACTCATGCCTTGCCCATCAACAGTGCTCCCTTCTAAAACAAAAAAACATGCAGTGCCAAACATTCAACTCCAACTAAGCCCATTACTTTGGTATGTTTGGCTTTAGGTCAAGCTTCTGTTGACAGTCGTCTGCTGCAACATCAACATGTCAATCCCCACCTGTCACAATGTGAAGTGCAGAATGCACACACACACACACACACACACACACACACACACACACACACACACACACACACACACACACACACACACACACACTTGTTATATTTTGTATTTACTGCTGTTTAAAAACATTTTTGTACTATCATTAAAAAGTAAAACAACACAAAATTAATTTGTCTTTTTTTGTCTTCTTGGCCTTTTTAGTTTTGTACACCGTTCTTCTCACATGCTCAATTGGACGTCTCACAGCATACTGTGCAAAGACATGATAAATCCACTCCAGCCAAGTATTGATTTTCTGTTTACAGAGAAGTGAATGCTAGCTCTTTCTGTGGCTGTAATATTTGTATGTAAACACAACATTGGTTCAACATAAGGTTCATTCCACCCATAAACACATCATAAAACCAGGTTAAATATCTATTTAACTATTTAGTTTATTCGGCAGCATGTTTTTCATTTAATAATATTATCTATCAAATTAAATATTACAACCACTGGACCTCCCCAATGTTTGGTTGTTCAACTACAAATAAAAAGTAATAATCTTAGTACCTACACATGAAATTGTCTTAAAGTAATTCAAGCTGGTTAGCAAGCTAATTATACTATTTACTACCCACTAAACTGATTATATTCACTTACACTGAAAACATTGACTTAGTAAAAGTCAGTCCATTCAGAAATGATTCATTAAGAAAGTGCTCATTCAGATCGTGGGGTACTTCCATGTAGTTCTCTGTTCTCCTGCTGTAATCTTTGATTAAGAGTTATCAGACACTTTGTTCCAATTATCAACCAGAAATAAGCTTCTTTTTGATAACTACCGAGGATTATGTGGGTGCTACTCTGTTTGCTTATCGGATGACCTTGATGTACTCGTGTTACAATCTGTAGAGTTTAATGGTTTGGACGAGGACCAAAATGGCTGAAGTCAAACGATAGCAAACCTGAAAACCACTTACAATAGTTTAATAAACCATTTTTTAAACAGAGGTTGTTGGCACTTTTTCATTTAGCCATGTTGTTATGTATCTTGCATTTAGCTGCACGAAGCCTATTCTTCATAAGACCGTTTTAAAGGTGTTAGGTCAGCATGCTAAATTGATTTAGTCATAATACTTTAACGTAGATTTATCCCCCAAATCATTCAATCTGAAACCCTCTTTTCCCTAACATCTGACGAAGGCCTCCTTTATCACACTCGATCTTTGCACATGTCTTTCCTCTTTTTCCTCCCTCTGGCTCATTAATATTCAGGCCTGCTGAAAAGATGTGGAGGAATCTGGTTGCCGCTTTGTGGCACTCTTCGCAACTGCTAAATAATTAAGAGGGCGTTACTTGATACTCTGTTTTTTTTTTATGTGTGTCTTTGTGTATGGCCCATGTTCTGTGTGTGCCCAATAAGGACAGATTGAACCCACTGAGCTGGATACATCCCCCCACTCTAGTTACCACTCTGGCTACTTAACACTGATATGAACCAGTAAGCTCTGATACGGCATCAGACAAACACAGACATTCAAACGGCACAATGACAACAACAGTGGCTGGTTAACAGACAAGCTGCCATCCTGAGTTAGCCTAGAGGAATACAAGTGTAAATGTTCAAAGAGAATAAATTCAATTGTTACATTTTTTATATTCCTAGAATATAAAAAACTTAATAAATAAAACAGACACCATTATCCTCTCCCCCTCCCCATATTGAGAGCAGAGCGCAGTCGGTGTGATTGTGAATGGTGCATGTGCGTAAGAATTTGACAAACAAGGTATGGAAAATGAATTAATAATGCATGTTACACATAAGGACGTATCCATGGCTACTGGAACATTGCCTTTAAATGCATGCTACGGTGAACATTGCTCTGTAAGAGGAGCATGCGCCTGTAACGGGAACATCAGTCGCTCAATGTGTGTGAAGGTGATTCAATCCTTTCACAAAACCAGGCACTTGGCTTAAAGCTTCTGCCAACAGTGTATGAATGTGTGAATGATGACACATTGTTTAAAGTGCCTTGAGAGGTCATTAGAGTAGACAGACACAAGTGCAAAGCATTCAACATTTGTGGTACCTTCCAATTACTATCCTCTCCCTCATCCTGACATATTCTGACCTTTGAACTGATGTTCACTGTGTATGAAATCTGCTCCATTTGTCCTGCTTTTGGAGAAAATGCATGTTAGGCTGCAGCTCTCACGTCCCATTGGGTTAGACTTTATGGGCACCAATAGTTCAGGTTTCTGAGAGTTAGTGATACGTGTGTGTTTAAGGTATTTTATTGGCCTTCTTAAAGATATGCCACATGTCCAGACATGCAGGTGTTTGTCTTAACTACCCCCAACTGCTTTCAGTTGTGTATTTTTTTCCTTTCTTTCGCCGAGCTAGTTAATTATTAGATCAGCCTCGGAACAGGCCGGGTTATAAGCTGCTGCAAGGAAAGAAGATTTAAACTTGTCCCAACTATCCCGTTGAGTCTCTCTTCACCTTGACAGAGGCATGTGAGGTTGTAAAGACGTTTTTTTCAGTCCTGGAAGTAGAAAGTATAAGACTTACTGTGTCTTGTTTCCTGATAGTAGGCACCTAGAACAAGGTGTGTTCAGACAGAAAGTGAAGCAAATGATTTTATTCTCTATTATTTAAGCCCAGTTTTTATTTTTATTCGATAAAAAAAAAAATGAAACAGGAAAGCCTGATTGCAATAAAGAAACTCTTTTATAAGAGTGTCCTGGCGGAGGCGTTTTAACAAAGTTGCAGACATATGTCAACACATCGTGGGTCACAGAGGAGAGTCGTTGGTCAAAGCATCGGCAACCTGATGCATCTTCCTCTAGTGCCGCCAATCTACTCTTGAAATGATTTAAAGAGACCAGCTCACCCCAGACCCTCATCCTCCTGCAGCAGAGTCCAAGCTGCTGGAGCGACAAACCTGAGACTTCTTTTCCTCATTTTGGGGACACTATGCTTAATCTCTCTGTACAGTATGTTTATGTAACAGATTCATAAGGCTCCTGTCCCAGCATTTTTTCGTTCATTTTTTTCACTCAGGTTGAAATGTTTTTAACTTGTTTTTACCGTCACCATGGGACAGTTTGTGCTGAATTCGATTTTTACAAACTGTGCGACATTTTGTCACCACTGTAATGTTTTTTTGGATGCTAACATGTTATACAGTCAACATTCAATCCAGAAACACAAAGCTGCAAAATGGCAAAAATTAATCTCTACATTTACAATCTCAGGACAGCATTTTAAGCACACTTCCATGTTAGAACTAATTAAAAATACAAGTTTGAGACATATTTAGTCACAAACCAAACTATGCAAAATATTCAAACTATGACCCGATGTTGGTGCTAGATGAAATGTAAAAAGGGTTAAAAGTTGGAGCTATTTGGGGCGCTGGTGGCTCAGTGGTTAGTGCGCGCCCCATGTAAGAGGCTATAGTCTCTTACATGGGGGCGGTCCAGGTTCAAATCCCGTCTGTGGCTCCATTCCCACATGCATTCCCAACTCTCTCTCCCTGATTTCTAACTCTATCCACTGTCCTATCTCTCCAGTAAGGCACAAAAAGCCAAAAAAATCATTCTTGTTGTGGTTATAAACCCAGAGATGGGTACATGTATGTCTGGACCAAAGATGAACACAATGTGGGTACAGTGTGAGCACTTTAATCCCCTATAAACTGACATATGTTGAATCACACTTGAAAGCCGATAGCTTCTTTTAATGTTTGTAAATTGCAGATGCATGAACATCAATGCCATCATGTCATGAAGTGCAGCTTAATCCCTATGTTAATGTCTGATGAGTGACGTGCCCTTTGTGTTCTCTCTCTATAGAACAAAGGTTGGATGAAGTGCTGCCCCCTACATCAACTTTGAGATACAATGGAGGTTAAACCATGTCGGCCTGTAGGGCCTAGCTCAGTTTCTTGGACATGTTTTAGTAGTAGTCGTAATATTAATCATATTCTGAATCCTAAAAAGAATCCTCCAGTCACCTGGAGGTCACAGAGGTCACAGGTACAGTGGTTACAGAATGATGTGGTTGGTGTTACTCCATTAGCACTTCAATAGTCTTGGGTGTCTCTGAGAATAAACGTTGTGCCCATCAGTGTGTGTGTGTGTGTGTCTGTGTGGGCAAGCCGTTGTTCCTGCGTGTCTAGTTTCTAATGATGGTCATCTATAATTGAGTTTCACCTCACGGGGGGGGGGGAAGCGGTCCAGGGTGGCGCGGTGGTTAACTGGGCTCCAGATAATGCCATGACTGTGTGTCTATGAGTCACAGGGGTCATCAGCATGCAAAACGTCCAGTGCCGCGGAGCAGCAACCCGAGCCCAACTCTGTTTAATTGATGCCACCTCTGATTAACTGTCAGTTCAGCATCAACACCAGCTAATTCACTAACAGAGACTCTGACCACAGGGACCTCCACACACAGCAACTCACCTAAAACCTGTCCATGTCTACAGGCAGTCGTTGTATAAAAGACTATCAGATTTTTTTTTTAAAAGGGGGGGTTTTATCTCCTCAAAGTTTTTTATAAATGACAGGTTACATTTCACTTTAAAAAGGTTATTAATGAATTCACTTATATTGTGGAAAATACAAGACTATTTTATTATTAATGTGGTGCATAAGCTGTTTACCTTGGACAAATTTGAGCCATTGATTAGAATTTGATTAGAAATTTTAAGTTGACAGTAATAACCTCCTTTCTGATGAATGATGGATGTTTCATTTAAATCGGGCCTTTGGTCTTTTTTTAAGCTGGGTTCCTTGTGGAATCCTTATGAAGGAGTTGTGATTTATACTGACAACACAGATTTGTGTTTGAGTATGCTTTTGAAGATAAATAAGTTTCAAATATGAAACTTCCTTGATGTCTGTACAGCATGAAACTTGTTCTGCCGCTATATTCATGAAGGAAAACCTGAATTTAAGAATTCTAAATGTCCCCTAAATACAGGAGTTTTGAGCGATATGCTCATGTTGGCCTACATTTATCTTCACACACTGATTCATGATTTTGAGTTGAAGAAAACGGTTTACACCCATCTCCAGCTGACTGTTCTCAGACGATGAGTTGGATCACATTTTTAATGGAGGAGCAAACCACTGGCTTGCTCACAGCTCATTGTTTGGATGAGTCATTGCTCGAGCAGACTCTTTGACTGGATGAAATAGATCCTGTCAAGATAAGCGGCCGTTGTGATCAGCTGCCAGCTGTTTTGACAGGCAGAACTCAGCACCTTCGAGTTCACAATGTAGGCTCGATCCAAGACAGACCAGCTGAGCCTCTAGACTTAAACACAACTGACCCAGTGATAAACACGCCATCATTTAAAGCTATTCCTCTGTGTTGTTTCTTCCTTGTGTGTTCTAGCAGTTTCTTTTAAACATTGCTTGAAGATTTTGCCCTGTGTGAAATATGTTTCTCCCTCTCCTCCCAGGTCTCTTGTTCCCTGTTGTTCTTTAAAGTTTATCTGAGTGCAAAGATGATAAAAAACAAACACAGGCCCAAGCGTTTGCTGCCAGATAAACTCTTGGGCGAGGAGACAATCAATTACTAATGAATGCTGTAACAGAGAGCAGAGCCACATGAGTCACAGGTGTTAAGTTCAGCACACATGTTGTTCACACTGTGAGGAAGACTATAAAAACGCCAACTGTTGTTTTAACTGAGAAACCCATTTTACAGGGGAACGAGTTTGGAAGTTTTCGTCAACGTGCTGCAGGTTAACATGTAGGCTACAATATGTTGTTCTGCAGCTCCACCTGCTGACGGATTTATGTACTGCAGCTTATTTGGAGATCATCTATCAGCTCGTTTTGCATTTTGTCGGTCAAACAGTTCTGCTAAACCCATTTCTCCATCACACTCTCACAGGGAGACTCTGCAGCATTAACACAGCTTCCAAACATTTAACACAACCGTCACACTTCTCATCACCAATTTCAGAAATAAAAATAAGAGGAGGGCAGATAAACATCTGAAATCAAAGTATCCTGTGGATTGTGTGTATTTACAGGATTCTGATGTCTCATCTGTGCATCTAGCCAGCAAGTTAGTCATACGAGCTGCTGAATTAGAGCCTTAACTGGTGAAAGGGGTTAAAGGTTAGGTTTTACTCATCAAATATCACTTTTGTAAATATTTTTTTCTGTGCAGTTCTTTCTAAATATTGTAAAACGGGGGATCACAAAGTGAAACATCTTCACTTAAAAACAAAACAACAACTGGCCAGTTATGATATAAAGACAGCCATGTTTAAGGGTTTTAATTGTTACTGTTGGAATTTAAGCCTGATTTCATGTCTGACATCCACATCTACTGTCTGTTCATTTTCTGCCTTTCCACCTAATGTATTAATGCTGTCACACACTGAACTTCTATTCTGCATTTCTTGCAGCCACTGTTTGAGATAAATTAAAAAATACATAGGAATTTGTTAGCAAGAGTGGGACTGACAGCGTGTTTGGTGTGTTAATGACTACATTGATGTGTATGGTGGTGAGGGGTGGGTGCTTGAAAATATTTTTATCTGCCAAATGGGAAAAAATAATGTTTGGGAACAACTGGGATACAGAAACAGGTCTTGCAGGGTTTGAATAAATCTGCAGCAGGCAAACTAATTTTATTGTAGGTCAACCCTAATGGCAAAACAACCCTTCTTAAGACGGTTTACATAGAACTGGTCTACACCCCGGTCTAAAACATAGACATAAATGTGCGCCACCTTACAATGTTTTCTCATTCATTTCAAAATTTTAATTTCAGTTACATTTGTTTCTTTAAATGTTTCTATGCAAATACTTCCTGCATATTGACAATTCATCTTTTAGTGGTGAGTGTTGGGTTAACAGTAGGCCTACATATTATATATATTATATTTGAAGCGTTATTGCTCGTTTGTGATTTGTGTGAAAAAAAAGTGTTTGTTTGTACAAAGAAATGTGTAAGCATGCAGGATTAACACTTTGTCACTGTAAAGTAAAACTCATTGGCAAATTTCCAAATTAAACATCTCTCTGGGAGGCCGTGGCCTGTTACAGCCAACAGGTGTTTAGAAGAGAAATGTAAGAAGCAAACATCACCTGTCTAACTATTTGAGAGCATCGAGCTGCACATTGCTGCCCCCTTGTGGTTAAAAACCGAACAACAAATAAACGGTAAGGTTTCTGGCTGCGACACTGGAAAATGGTTTAGGAAAATTCAGTTTTATTCGTTTCTGGACAGTCCCGTCCTTCACTGGTTAAATACAACATCACAAATAGCCACACTGAAGCCCTGGTATGTTTCCCAGGGCTGCTTAAACAACAACGTTGTTACAATCTGAACAGCTCAGGTCATTGGTCCAGGGGGGATTAAGACTGTTTCCTAGAAAGAGGTGAGTGAAGCTGAGGAGCACACTACAAAAAATGACCAGAAAATCAGGTCAGAAATGTTTTGTAACCGTCCAAAACAAACGGACTTCATCTAACAGGTATAGGAAAATTGAATGGCACAATTTTCTCATCCAGCTAACATGATATGAAATGAGATCCTTTGTTGTATTTAGCAGCGTAGAGTTTGTTCTTGGACTGGAAGTTTTTAACACCAGAGCCTGTCCCCCTTTCAAAACTATTCGGGAAAAAAAGATAAAAGATCCAATCAGCCAAAGCTGCCGATATAAGTACAGGTTGAAAAAAGTTTCCTGCTGACCCATGATCTGTAATCTAGATAGTTTTGTAGGCAATAAGAAAACTGCTGATATCATCCTGGTCAAGAAAGTTCTGCCCCACCTGAAATAATGGAAAACTGCAGAGTCCCTGTAGTCCCAAAAAGTAAAAATTTGGTTTAAAAAAAAAAAAAAATCTATTTTTTGTGACTTCAGGGGTTCTGTAAAAAAAAGATCCACTTTGAATTAGAAGAAAATAAAATATCAGAGAAATAATACATGTATTTACACAGATATGCACACATACAGAGTACTCACCCAAACATCAACACACTTGTACACACAGATCTGCACGTACTCAGTGCATATACTCTTCACAAATACATTTAAATCTCTTTCACAGTTGTTCTCACATCGCAAATATCCTCAGTCTCCAGAGTCACAGACGTGGGGGCTTCATCACAAACATGTCAAATCCATCTCAACTACTACAATGTGCTCAGGACTGCAGACGAGCTTTATCCAGTGGTTGATGCACTGCAAGCCAAATTGAGCTTCTTTAGGGCTATAATGGCAGTAGATTTAGATCTCACATTGTCATAGTAGACCTATAGAGGTCTGTTCACTGCTGCTCAATAACAGTTTAAGTGCTAAACATCCAGACTTCTGGTAAAAACGATCCCAAATTCCTTTTCACACATTTATTGTTACGACCTACCGTCTATGAGATGATTCACATTCAGACTTTTATCTGCTGTCAGATGACTGACAAATACAACTCCCAATTGATTTAGCTGTTCACAAAGCAAGTTCAAGCTTTCCCAACAAGTCATTCTGGTTCATTTGAACAAGTTTCAAAGACATTGGACAAATAGTTGAACTGACTGGATCCCCGTTTGCTGACAGGTAGACTGATGTATGACATGTAAACCAGGCGTAACGGGGTTAAATTGTCTTGTTCTGTCATGTTACAATCACACCAAGCTTGAGTCAGGAAACTCGTGAGCATACCTGGAACCGATGTCCACAGGTGTACTGGAGATTTTGAAATGGGTAATTGCAGACAAGACCATTTAACAGCAAGGCCTTAGAGTGTTCAAAGAGGAATTTCAAACAGAGACAATAACTTAATATCCTCCAAACTACGACTGTAATAAGAAGACAGATAAGGAGTGAAATGTTTTTTCAGCCCGGCAGTGAAAACAAGTTTTTATCAGTAACAAAGTCCAGTCTGCAGCCACCACCGAATCCATCTTCTCATGGAAACTTATGTTGAATCACACAGACAAACATTGTTTAACAGATTGAAAAAAAAAAAAAAAAAAAAAAAAAACATACACACAAGTTATCTGACAGACAGTATAAAAGTGTGATAACATGTGTGCGTGTTACAAGTAGAGTGTGACGCCAGGCAGTGTTGTGGCGTCTGCGGTGTCCTTTGCGGGCGGCTTGTTCCCTCAGAGTGAATCCGCTCCGTTGACGGTTTTTGAACACACTCTTCATTCAAGCGCTCCGCATCTTATTCCACAACCTGTCTGCCATGGCAACTCACAACCAAAATCATACTCTATATGCATAAAAAAAAACAAAAAAAAAACGAATCAGCATCAAGACACAACACCTCAGAGGGAAGGGAGAGCTGAGAGGCCGGCACTCGGACAGGTCAGCGTGGGGGGGGGTGTTAGTGAAGGTCAGCCTGTTCAATTCTTGCTCTGGTTAGTCAAAATCCAACTCTGTTCACTCCGGACCGCTGCCACCATCAAGCAGAGTTCACAATTCATTAGAGGGAAATGTATACAATGTTTTACGGGATTAATTTTTGTTTTACTTTCTAATCAGTAAATAAAATGCCCCAAACCCATAAACACACACACATGTATATATATAACTATTAACATACATTACTGAGATTTCCAAATGAAATTCATCTGATGATAAAAGATGAACGACCCGCTCACCTCACTCAGATGCCAGAATTTAAAGGTTTGGTTAACTTAAAACCACAATACTTGAGGCATTCCTGTCAATATGGTCGAACTTAAATGGCGTTTCCCCAAGGCATATTATACATTCATAATACTATGTGAGTGTACGTGTGTCAGTTTGTGTGTGGCTGTGTTTGTTTGAAATAAAAGCCACAGGGTAGAACTCATCTGCACCAAAGCAGAAAAATGTATTCGTGTGTCTGTGTGTCATCATGGCTCCTGTCCTCACGACTGAAGCACATTTCCGTAGGAAACAAATGCACCTCGTTGGCTCAACCAAGTTGGCCAATCACCAATGACGAAGCCAGGGCCCCTGGGCCAGCCCCATCACCGAGACCAGAGTTCAGTTGGTTTGTTGGTTAGAAATGTGTGTCTGTGTGTGTGCGTGTTTGGGGACAGTCCAGTCCACTACCAGCGTCCTCAGGGATGGAGGGGGAGGGGATGCGGTTTCCGTGGTGATGAGAGTGAAGTGTCGATAAGTGGAGGAGTCTAAACCTCTGCTCCTTTCAAGCCGATTCGTTCCTCCTCCTGTCAGTCACTGTTGGGCTTCTTCAGGGAGAAGGCCAAGATTTTGAAGTGGCTGCTGAGCTGTTGAACCTACGATAGATAAAAAAAAGTCATCAATGTCTCATTTTAACATGATTCATAAATTATTGTCTTAAGAGGTTCTGGTAGTTAGATGTTGACGCCTTTATTAAAGTGCTAGGCTAGCTGTTCACACCTTGTCAACCTTTACACTTACATTTAAGCAGATCAACATTTGTATTTCTTACAAAGATGCTTTGTGTGCTCTTACCACAGATACGCCGTAGTGTATGTGTGCTAGTATGACAGCAGCCGTCCAAAGATGAAGCAGCAGTGTCTCGTTGCCAACCACTCCGGTCACTGCTAGTAACACCACCGCCACCATTGGCAGCAACAGCCAGGTCAGCGGCTGGCATCGTGTGTTACTCATCTGACACACAATCAGCTTACACTGCAAGGTAAATTCACACATGAGAAACCGATACTACAAGATGAATACAGACTTTTAGGACTTGGGTGGTTAAAAATGTAGCGGAAGCTCACCGTGACATTGGCGAAGGCTGTCCCCACCATGAGGTAGAAGACCCTGGGCTGCAGCTCGAGTATGTTGTTGGGGGAGAAGACCACCCATGTGGTGGACAGGACGAAGAGGAGGACGGGAGAGAGGAAGGGCAGGAAGGCTTCATACAGGCTGCTGTGCTTCAGAGTGTTACTGCGATGAGCTCTGAACAAATGAAACACAGCGTAAGAAGTTAAAGCTCTGTGTGTTATAATAACTCTACTATTTAATTTAATGCTAATTAAAGGTTAGCTTACTTCAGGACATTGTAGAGGCTCATGGGTAATGTCACAGTGAAGGAACAGGCTGGAAATAAAAGGATAAGAATTGTTGTAGCTGCTTCAGATCAAATATTAAATGAAAGTATTAAGAGTGACCAATCACAGCTCACCAATGATCATGAATGTGAAAAGGTCTCTATACAGGAAACGCCACAGGATTGGCTGGTACCATGTTTCCACGCCGACCACAGCAGTGACCAAGTAAACGAGAGAGATTGTCTGGAGGGCAATGAGACCAGAGAAATCTAATTATTCATTTGTGAACATGGGAACTTTTTGGGCTAGAGTAAGAAAACACTCATTTTAACTCTTGATGGAAATTCCCTTTCCTCCTCGAAAAGAGTAATGCAAGCATAAAATTGCAAGAAATCTATTCATGAGGGTGTATGTCTGCTCTTTACTTTTCTTCAACCTAGAAGTTCAGGGACATAGAATAAGACTTCTGTCCTCTTCTTGGATCTTAAAATGATGAGGAGGGTAACTATTCACCTAGAATATCGTCCTTCTGTCTAGAGCTTTTATAAAAAAAGATGGAGGACAAGAAAGCGAAGCCAAAACATTTGGGCTCCCCAACTGATTTGCTGTACTTCAGGCCATAAGCTCCGCCTTCTCCATGTTAACAGATGGGACATGGGTCAAACTATAAAATCTTATCATGTTGATTAAAATAAGAGTTCATTTTTCTGAGAAGTTCAGTTTTGATTAGTTCTTTGATGCGATAAAAAGAGGTATAAAACCATAATTGACAGCTGTTGACAAATGTGGCTCCTATGACAGTGCGCACTGTTTTCCAGAGAAGAGCAGGAACAGCGAGGATGAGTGACAAACACACAGGAGCCATCGAACTTTCCATATCTGTGACTGTCTGTTTCATACAGACACATAAATCTGCTGTGGATTACAAACCCTGAGGGATCAAATTTTTGGTTTCATGAAGTATGTGAGTCATGCATAGTTAGGCGTGATCTGATTGATGGGCGGGCGCGATGTAACGGATTCAAACACGCTTCAGCTCAAGCTCTCTCGTGTCGTTAAGTTGACTGAAAGTTAAGTTGAGATAGTGTTTCCAGAGTCAGGCTTCCAAAGCCCCCCCCCCCCCCCCCCCATTAACAGATGGGTGACGTCACTCAGGCTTCATCCAGTTATATTTACAGTGTACAGTTTTCACTCACGTCATGAAACAAATGCTAGCTAGCTACAGTTGATAAAAACTGGTAGCAACAGGAATAACTTTATTGAACAAAATCATCATTTTAGGTTTATGTAAGCGTGTGTGTCCTTACCACTTGGCTGATGTCGTACCCCCACGGCAGGAACAAGATGCCGGTGTTATATTTCTCCCAGTGAGAGAGAATGAATGAGAACAGCACCACCCACAGGATGTAATACAGTGTGGCCACACCCACACCACTTTCCCCACACCCAAATATGGAGTAGACGGTGGCCACAAAGTAGATACAGGCCCAGCTGTCCAGGCCGTGGTCAAACAGCTCCCCTAATGGTGTGGAGGAGTTTGTGCGACGGGCCTGTTTACCATCAACACCATCTACACATAATGAGAGAAGACAGATATTATAATACACTGTGTTTGTTTAGACCAACATACACTTACAAAACATTTTCCATTTCCGTTCAGCAAAGCAGCTGCACACACTCGTATAATTGAAATGATTCTCTGAGGAATCGACTCGGCTGTGGTAGAGTCGGTCGTCTCTCTACTGGAAGGTCTGGGGTCGATCCCCAGCTCCTGCTGATGCATCAGTGGTGTGTAAATGTGTAATAACAGATTAGTTAACACTGATGGACACATACTGTAGCTGCCTCTGCCATCAGGGTGTGAATGTGTAGGTGTGACCTGCAGTGTAGAAGTGCTTTGAGAAGTCAGAAGACTAGAAAAGCTCAAGGCCATCTACCATTCACACATGATGTATTCTGCACACATTCTTGACAGAAGTGTTTTTTTAACTGACTTTAGTTTGATTCACAGAGTACAAGTCGACCCAAATTGAGATGAAATTTGGCTATAAAATAAATCTGTATTTAGTTGTCTGCAGTAAGATTTGCTGACAAAATATGTGGTGGGGATCTATAAAAACTAAGTGACTTTTGATCTGTTAGTGAGCGAGCGACAGACAAGGTCAATTTCAATTTCAGTTTGCCCCTCAAGCACTTTTATTATCATTTATCATAATATGAATAATCACTAAAAACGGCAATGTCCTCTGGGAACTAAAACTCTAGTGCCCACCTGATACATTTATGAACACCTATAAAGGAAAGAGCTGACAAGTCCAGCAGGCAGACATTACAACAAGGAGAGTGGCGTAAATACTGACAGTGTACAATCACATCATGCAGCCGGAAGGACAGTCAGTCAGTCAGTCAGTAATATTTTGCCTAAAGGCATCTCAACAGTCGACAGAAGCCGGAGTATAACTGATACATCTCTCTTAAACTTAAGGTGAACTTTTTATATTTATGGAAAATACATCTTAATCAAACCACATCATCATAAACCTACAATATTGGAAGTTCTTAAAAATGAGATCCTGCACTATTTGCTTTGTCTCAGTATATTTTTGATAAATTGCAGCAACATATTAATTTCAGGTTTTTTTCTCAACCCATAATGCCCTAGCAAACCAGTAATAATAATACTTCTGACAGCCTGTTAGTAATGGTATATTGGTTTTACGTGATGCAAGACAAATCCAGATTTTTTTCATATCCCTGCTATAATACTTCATTAACACAGAAAACAAAGTAGCACTAAGGACAATATCATGACATAAAAACCATCAGGATAGAAGGCATATGACTCGTGCTCGCAGGCTGCACTCTCCATACTGGTTCTGAATTAGAGTCTCAGCTTCACAGTACAGAATACATTCCATAGGGAGAGAAAAACAAATCACAGGGGTTACCACTCACCGAGTGTGTAGGCCAAGAAGTTGAAGATCCCAGCAGCAACCCAGACCCAACTAGGCACGTGTTCATGTCCTGCAGCTGTGACACACACAATAAAAATATGCAGCATACCACACACACACATGAGAAAAACCTGCAGAGATAGAGGAGCCTGACCAAAATATCCCTTTTTCCAGAGTTCTTCAGAGTTTAATTAACATCTCAATGGTATAGGATAAGTAGCATATTTCTAAGTTAACATTTAATGTGTGTACATCATTTGGTTTTACTCTTCTTTTTAAGACTGACTCTATCCAAAAAATACCCTTGTGAGGACATTTAAACCATCTTTTGTGACTCAAGGGGTAAAAGAGTAAGAACCTGTCAGTTAGTCTCAATGTACCTGTAACATTTTGTTTATGATCTAAAGGTGTGTGAGTTCTCCGGGCAGTGTCTATATGTACCTGAAGGAGGTAATGGGTTAGTAATTAACCTTTGCCAGAATTGGCAGTCAGGTTTCACTAAGCCATGGACTTTGTCTCTCATAAACAAACACGCCTCCATTTTTTCTCTGTTCTTTGTCGGGTCGATTGAGCACTAGACAAACACAACTAGGAGGGGAAGAAGTGGAAGGAGTGGAAGGAGTGGAAGGAGAGCATGACTTACCAGAGGCGGTGAAGTCAAAGTCGTAGAAGGCCAACATGAGGAAATTCAACACGAGAAACATGAAGCCTGTAAATGTGATGAGGTTTGGAGCTAACCATGTCGGTAGAAACTGTTGACAAAAACACAGAAAAGAGAATGAGTACCAGATAATTAACGGTAGTTCGAAATGGTGTCACACTTTATGAGTCAGCTGGATGACTGTTAGGCAGAGGAGAACATTTTGTTTATGATATCAGGATGCAGTCAGGCAAATACTATTAAATAAATGTGTTGGTGTCTTGACGTACTGTTAAGAAGGAAGCCAGACAATGATGATGAACATTGTGTGCTTTTTATCAGCTTACATGTATGCACTTAAAACAACACAGTATCTTCACAATACAGAACAAACAATGAGACTTTTGGCACACACAAAGGCGGAGGAGGAGGTGCTCGTGGGTGAGGCTTTCTTGTTACTGTATCACAGAAAGTGCTAGGAAACCCCATGAATAATGGATGTGGGTACACACAGTGAGAATACCAACACACACACACACACTGAGCTGAACAAGTCTTTCTCACCTTCACTACAAAGTTCCAGAAAGGGTGCATGACGTAGATGGACAGGGGGTTGGAGTCCACTGCGCTATACTGTAAAGACACAATCAGGCAGGATGTGATAAACAGACACAAACATTTTCACTTGTTTCATCGCTAGCAGATCCCCTACAGCTTTGAAAGGAAGCTCTACAGGGCCACACATCACTTGTTTACTGGATCATTCTGTTAGCCTGCCATCAAGCATATCAAACAAACCTGATGCCAGTCAGTGTCACTTTATCTAGGTCTGACCCACATGCGAGCCAGCTACAGTGTAATGTACCTTTACTAGTCCTCTTAGTGTGTTCATACAGCTTCAGTCAAATAAGGGCATGACAGACTTTACTGATTACTTTTTTATTTACTGATATGTGAGATAAACACAAATCAAAACCAAAATGAAATGGATACATGGGTCATAATATCATTTGACCAACATGGCCAAACGGAGAGAAGATCAAGGAAGCTGTATAAGCCACAGAGCTTGTATACTCTGCTACAGCTCTTCTGCCATTTGGATTTTTTTAAAGAAACAAACGTGTTGTGAACACAGGTACCTTGGTAGACATGTCCAACAGAAGGACAGGAGCTGGGAGTTGGGAAAGTAATATCCACACTTTAATATTTGTTTACTTGTAAAAAAAAATTCCTAAAATCAGAATGCTGAACAACGTTATTGCACGCTGTGAATATTAGTCCTGGTTCAAATTAACCACTGCAAAATACATGTCGATAATACCATGGAAAACAAGGATGCAGACCAACACTGCAACATGTTGCACTTAATTCCCTTTTCTGGATGGTTTTGGTGCAAGCTGTATGGACACCATTATGTTGCTGGTTTAATACCTGTGTGCAAGCTGTGTTGCGTGTCATTTATCCCCTCTTACATAAAAAAATAATGTTCAGATAATAATCAGTAATTGCACAGGCACATTCAGTTTAGAATTCACTGTGGACTAAGAAAGCTGACATGATTCTGTGTAATGCTGAAAGGATGTTGATAGATTACAGATAGATGATTTACCCAATAAAAAAAAGTCTCTGTGACAATCAATCATGACTCCATGTGTGACTAACACCAAGAAAGAAGGCTGTCTCTCTCAAGTCAGACAGGATGTAAAGGGTAGGAAAGAAGAACAATATAATCAGTGGAACAAGCTCTCGCTCTCATGTGCTTTCCTATTGCATGATTGAAACACTGTGCATGTATTGAAGAAATCCACAGTTCTTTCATTCGCTCCCATTTGTCACCGTCTGCTCTCCTCCAGCCACTGATGCTCCGGGCACAGCAGCTGAGACATGGAGGGAGCCACTTAAAAGGCTATTATTTGAAAAGGTTATTTTCATGATAGACAGCTCAGGGGAGCAGTTTCACGCCGTAATCAAAGAAAGAGGAATTAGAGTGAGAGAGACTGAAGAACCAGGCTGCATGGTGTTTAAAGATAAAATAAAATATGACCAGGAAAATACAAAACTTAAAAGATTTAAATGATAAAATAAAGGGACGCTTTAAGTGCTCCACAGCGGATAACCTTATATGTGGAAAGTGCACAAATCAAATGAACTTTATGAAAGTGAGCTGTCTTTTGATGTTATATACTTGGAATAGTGCCACTCCCGTTTTCTACTACAGTGACGTGACAAGACAACAGCCCCCTTGTATCTGCAGTGCCACACTGATGCTCATCTTTATGGACATTTACTGGACACTTTAAAATGTGTGTTACATGCAGAAAGGGAGATATTGTTTCAAAACCATTCATTATGGTGACTAGAATACACAGGTCGCTCCCCGCTATCCGCGTTTTCCATCAGTGTGCTGGTACAAGCTGAGTGGTTTCACCTTCCTGATCTATCACAGCAGCTACTTTTCTCTCTCTCCTGAGGTTTTATCAGCACAAACTGATGCACAGTCCTTCTATAAAAAGGTGTGTAATAGACGGGGGGCTGACTTAAATGTGTGAAAACACAAATTAATTCCTTGTCTTATAGCCAAGTAATGCAATACAGAAAGAGTAGCGAGCTAACTATTAGCAAAAGCGCCCATGTCAAGCACGAGAGAATAACCAGCGACTTCCGGGTATCACTTTCAAAATAAAATATAGGGACTTTGATCAAACGCTATGTCCAACATTGATAATCACATATATTTAATGTATTGAGATAGAATAGAAAAGATGTTTATAGCCATTTGCACAGGTACAGGACAGTACAGGTACATTGGAATTCTTGTGCGTTTCTCCCTGAGTCAGCTTCTACAAAAAAAAGTTAAAATTATATATAAAAAAATAGACTAGCATTGTAAGAAAAAAAGAAAGAGTACAAAAAAGTAAAAATAAATAAGTTGTATTAACAGCTAAGCAAACTGTACTGAAGTTATACACTGTATTAAAGCAAAGATATAATACAAAAAAATTAAAATAACAATAAAATATAAATATGTTTTCTTATTGCACTTATTATCTCTTAATATCATTTGTTTTGTTTTAGACTAAACTAGTGTGTATATGCGTGTGTTTTTAAGAGCACTGGGTTAACCTCGTAATTACAAATGAGTGTTACAGAACCAGTAAGTCAAGAAATGTAACACATTAAGTTAATTAACTAATGAAACACTCTGTCGTCACAACCAGCATTTATTTTCTAAAGACATTTTGACATGTGCATGCACTACGCAGTCTGCTTACTGTGGCTGTCTTTACTGATCTGTCAGGGAAGAAGCACCCTGTACATCGTGACAGCTATGTGAGCTGTTAAACACACACACACACACACACACACACACACACACTCTCTCTCTCTCTCTCTCTCTCACACTCACAGTCCTACACACTCTCGGCTACATGGCTAACAGCTAGCTAGCTCTAACACATCATTAATCATACCTTGTATTTGTCAAAGCCCGCAAGCTGCTCCTGAGTGACGTATTCGTACAGAGCCATGGTGGTTCAGTCTGGCTCCACAATACGATAAATTGATATCTCTTCCTTTTGGAAATGCAAATCCCAAACGTTAGCTGCCGTGTCGAAGCACCATTTAGCTGGGTCGTTGTCGTTCACGCCGGGTGAGGTGATGTCGAAACATTTGGGCCACTCCTACAACCAGCACACATCCAGCTGACTGAGGCTCACTAGCGCCGCCTGTGGCCTGGAGGACTCATGAATAAAATCATAAGAAGAAGAAACCCCCTGACGAGCCAATATAACATTTTATTATGTATGGTGTGAATTGGAGCAACAAGTAATTTCTGTCGAGGTGTCATATGTAGGCATATTTTTGTTACTTTCTTGGTTGAGAGTGGCTTTATAAAAAAAAAACTACATCTCCCGGCTTTTAAACGTGACGTGTCTTTACTGCAGCCGGAAGTAGAGACCAGTCTGCTTGTTTGCTGCTGAGCTCCTGGAATATCGGTTCAACACAGAGCAAATATCCAACTTAAAGGGACGAAGTAAGTAATGCTGTCAACTTAAAATGATTGCAAAATGTTTAGTATGTTGTCCTTGAATGTTTTTTACCCACAGAGTTCCCCGTGTCTGTATTTTTATTGCACTTTTGGTCCTAATAGTTAGCTAGCCAGCTAGCTAAGTTAGCGCTAACGTCACACACATTGATGGTTGAGTTTTAAAATCTAACTCCATTATTTTGGTTGAATTACTATTTACAGTCTGTTGTTGGATGTAGAGATTGTTTTAAATTGCCGACTGTCTTAACTATTAAATGACAGTGGATCAGACTATAACAAAATAATCCTCTTTGATTTTTAGAATGTGTTCGTGAAGTAAAACATCCTAATGCAGAATGAACATTGTAAATTGAGCACAGCTTCCAAAACTCTGTTTAGATCATTTTCAAGGCTTTACATACTTCATTTGAAATATGATGTACACTTACTAATTCGCCTTTTCTTTTGCAGAATGGTGACAGACGTGCAGCTGGCCATTTTTGCCAACATGCTTGGCGTGTCATTATTCCTGCTGGTTGTGTTGTATCACTATGTGGCTGTAAATAACCCCAAGAAACAGGAGTAAATTTGCCAATATGATTGGAGAGGTGAGTGTGATGTACCTTTTTTTTTGTACTGTCAGTCATGTTTCTGGTAACCTCCTATTCAATCCTGTGATATAGTTAAATATCTGCTTTGCTAATGGGGGGGAAGCAAGTATACATTTTTTGGGGGGGTAAAATATACAAAATTTAGGTTTCCAAGGCATAATGTGTCTTAGTTTTTATTTCCCAAAGTCAAGCACATTCCAATACAAAGTGGACTTTTCTATTATTTTTGCATTAACACTTGTGAACCTTTCTAAAATGATTTTATCTCCACAGGTGAGATGGGACTCAGTGCCACCACCATGGAAACATTCCCCTCCTCATGTCCTTTTTCCAAAAGATGAATTTCTTTGTAAAACTGCACGGTAGAGATTTTTTCTAATAAAAATGTGTGAATTCCAATATGCATCTGTGTTTCTATAAACTTCTAATCTTTTTTGAACGTTACAGAAGTATCGATTTGTTTGTAGTGCAAAATGTCACAAAAAACATTTTTTTCAGGATTATTTATTTTTACTTCAAGTTTGTCTCGCGTTCCAACACAGTATTATACCAGTCACAGTATAATTAATTTGGTCAAAGTCAGTCACTTGTTACATTTAAAAACAGAGCTCCTTATACAATTTATCTTACACAAAATATTGATATATGAATATACATTATGTTATTAAAGGATATGTTTCCATATTGGTGTTCTCTGGAACTACATCTCTACAGGAATGTGACAACAACATTTGTATTCATACAAAAAGTGTGTATAAAGTACTTTCCTACCCTTTGGACCTTCAATTTGTTGTATTACTTTAAATCCCCACGAACATAAGACTATCAACAAAACAAGTTTAAGCTAATCTTCTAGATACACTTGTCTGGAATCTGTGGTTCTTTTCTCTGAATGGACTGAAACTGTCCTTCCAAACTAGCACATGTTTTTTTTTCCTTAAATACCTCACCCGTCTCAAATACAGGTAGTCTCCATTCAATATGAAAATTCCAAAAACTTAAATTGTGTACTTGTGAAGTACTAGGTCACATCTTGCTTTCCTTTTTGGTTTTGATAAGTGTAAAATAAATAACGAAAGGGTCCAATGGGAGGTGAATACCCTTCACATACTATACAAAGCACAAAACCTTCAGTAATAATTGTATTCAACACACACTTCACTCACATTTCTGTGTCTATACTTATACTTAAAGTGGAAATCAGAAGGTAATAAATATACTGCTTAGCTTGTCAGTCTAGTGAGAATCAACTATTGGCTTCATATAAGTGGCTGAATGTAAAAATACATAACAGTGCATTACAGTGTCGGTCTGAGTGCATTTAACATTTGTTTGGGGGGAGCGGTCAGCAGAAGGAAAGGACTCAAATAAAACAGATATGTGAGGTACAGTTATGATAGCTGAAATGTTTCTGGTTAATTTTAAGTCTATAGAATAATGATACGCTGGAAAGACTTCTCTCTCTGCTGTTGTGTCATTGAGCAAGGCACTTAGCCCCCAGCTGCTCCAGTAAAGCTGCTCTGTGGTTTTAATGGACATTTCCTTCTGCAAGTCTGACCGTGTTCAACTGCATCGGTTACAAATTCCTCTGGAATATCTGAAAAGATAATGTTATAAATACTGTATTGCACATGAAAATATCCCAATTAATCCTCCTGTGGTAATGGAATCCCCTCCTGTTTTAAAAGGTTTTCACAACATGGAAACTGGGTTCACATACATCAAATACAAAGAGCAGTGCAGTTCCTAAGCTTCTCCACACAGGGTCACTGTCTCAAGCATGTTCACAGTCTCAGGAGGAGGCATCACCGAAGTCTCCTCACTCTGCAAAGACAAAGTCATACGAGGTGATTCAAGTGATTTGATTAACTTATAATCAGCACTTGTTTCTGTTTGAATACAAATGAATGCTGTTTGACACAATCTGTGTGTATCTATACGTTTACCTGTTGCAGAGTTTCATCCTTCTCTGGTGTAGTTTCTATTATAGTATTTCCTTTACAGTGGAAGTTCCTGTCAGTGCTCTTCTTCTTTAGTGCTTTAGAGGCCAACTGTATGGCAGCGTCTTTTCCTGAAACACCTGTAAAGGAAATGAAATCCATTTTAAATATGTCTTAAGGAAATAGAGAACCAATGACATGCAGTACCTCAAACTACAGAACAAAGGCAAGAATCGTTTGTAATCTTTTACCTCAATATCGATGACATATTGCTACACGAGTATGGAAATGAGGATTAGTCATTTAAAAATATAATGAAAAGTCACTGATGGGATTTTTGGATTTAGTCTCAAGGCACTTTGAAGTAATACTGAAGAAGTTGTAGTATGCCATGTGCAGTTCCTTGTTATCACAATGTCATATCAATGAAAGAAAACTGAGTCTGCAGTCCTGTCGTTTTTATGAAGCTGTAGCAAAATGCTAATTTAAGCACCCTACCATTCTAACAATGACAATCCTTGCTTGATGATGCTAATAAGGTTTTATGCTTACAATTTTGGCTATTGAGGCCAGTATGTTAGTTAAGCTAGTTATGGTCAAGCATGCTAACACTTGCTAATTAGCTCTAAAATTACAACTAAAGCCGACTATAAAGTCAATAGTTTAGCATGTATGTGGTCAGAAACCCTGTCCTTATGTTTGGTTATAATGATCCTTAATGAAGTTCATGGATACTTAAGTGAATCAAAGTCTTCCCGACTGGTAAAGAAATACAGGACATTTCAGGACAAGAATCGGGGTACTTGTTGGAATTTATTAACTGGATAAGTGGACATTTTGACACAAGCACACAAAGTGAACATGTCTTTTATTATATATATCAAAATTTCAAACGATTTATTTCACTCATCCTGTTGAGTTATGCGATCTTTGTTCAGTTAAATGTCAGATGTTAATGTCACAGATTCATGTGTATGTATACATGCCTGAGAGTGACAGGTGGCGATGGAGGCCAGGTTTAAGCAGCTTCCAGACCTTCATGGTGGCTGACTTGTCCTTCTCTCCAGGGGAAAGTGGGGTCATACTGGTAGGGGATGTTTTACTGTCATTTGTGAGAGGGGTTTCCGTTGACCCCACTCTCCGGATGGGGATGCGGCTCATAGGAGGTTGTAGCTCACACCTGGACAGGAAGTAGAAGAAGTATTGTTAACCAATCAGTGATACACCATATCATGATTCAGGCTAATGTCCATGATATAACATGTTCAAATGCTAATGTAGACATAAATCCTTATGATCATCATCACCTTTTTCATTGTCGTTCACCTTTCAATGAATCTATTCAAATTTTGAATTCCCATCTCATATAAATTCTTCTTTGGCTTAAAACATTTTCAGATATAAAAAAAATGCTTTCAGAAAAATAAAAAAGATTGGACTCACTTGCTAAATTTGATGGATGAAAGGATGTGTTCCGACCCCAGGTTTTTGGCAGCCTGTGGCAAATAAGGAAACTACAGTTTCACCTTTAAACCCAATTTTAGTTATAATAAAATACATGTTTGAAATTCAAATGGAAACAGAATAGTTTGCTCTCTGTGAGCGGTCAGCTAACCTCTGTGGGAGCCGCTGCGGGGGGATGAGTCATGGTGAGGGTTCGACACCCTCTTCCCATATGCCCAGCCCGCAGTCTGGACCAACCGGGTGAAGTGGGTGCACCAACCTGAAAGTCTGGGCAGCTGAGGCCTGTTGATGAGATGGAGGGACAGAACAACCAAGAATAGAGAGGAAAGGGGAAACATGGGGTGGCAGATGAGTAAACAAAACAATCAAGGATGGGCATGGTAAAAATAAAATAAAATGTGTTCATCTGACATTCAAAACATCGACAATTCAAAACGTAGCAGACTCGTTCATTTTCAACAAAGTTTACAAAGGTACAAAGTTTGACCAACTTTACTGCACATACAGGCTGAACAATTGAGGACACACACACATATACACAAAGGAGAAATAGAGTAAGAGGGGCCCACACGTAGAACTTGCTTCACAAAGGGATAGCTTTTATTCAAGAGGTTAAACAGAGAGGCGGTAAAAAGACAGCAGCACATTGGAGAAGGTGATATTTGTTAAACAGACACTTAGCTGAAATCTGGTAAAGAAGTTTAGCACCACATTGAAAAACAGTTCTCAAAAGGAATAAAAAGCAGAAAGCCCTAGTGAGAATGTGACTATGCATACGGTGGTTCAACCTGAAGCAAGTCATTTTTCATTTGTGTATGAAGACAAAAACAAAGCTTTGGAACAATTGGGAAACAAGAATCAAAGATCACAGTGAGGAAGCAGAATAAACTACAGCACAGTCTCCCCATGTTTAAGGGCACTAATCTAAAGTGAAAGCTCAGGGTACATCCCTCTCACTTCTCTAAATGCAGTAGATACAAGCTACATGAGAAATCATCGCCTGTGTGATGTTAATCAAGCATGAGTTAAGGCTTTGATGCCCCCAGAGCACCAACTGACCATCACATTCGATGTCTACAAGGGTCACAATACCATGTTGGAAACATTCATGTAATAGAGGGTGGTACTGCACGATAGTAAATGGCACCAGCTATTGTTTTATTCTAAATAGCTAGCATGTCCTTCTATGAAATAAAGTACTAAAAATGCCCACCTTAACTTTATTTTATTTCTCAATCTAATTTTTTTTCCCTCCTCTTTACACCTTATACACCAAGGTTCATCAATTCAAGCTCAAACCGATTGACAGGATGGGTGAGACCCACCAATAAAAAATGTGTATATATATATATATATATATATATATATATATATATATATATCAAAATTAAAGTTTGGGGAAATAGCCTCCATAACCTACTGCTTACCACTACAGACACCAGAGCAAGGCACACCATTACTACACAGCACTGGAAAAGACAAGAAGCTACAGCGAGTCAAGGCCAGATCATCCGAAGGTTGATCCATCCAATCGATTAATGATCTGCTCTATCTACTGCTCATTAAAGCTCTCCACGTGTCTCAAGCTCTACCTCTGCATACAAAACAGCTGATCCTAAAAAAACACACAGACTATCATCAAGTATTCAGATGACAGAACACTGAACTGAATCAAAGACAAAATACAACAATTCCACATTGGATATATGAAGGTTACAAATATACTGAGACAACAGGATCATTTCTCACCTCTGCTAACCACAAAGTATATTAACTTCAACCTGCCAAGTTGACTTCACTCTTAAACAACACTGATGTTTGTGAATAAATACTGATCAATGTTTTTCTTTTGTAAATTTGATGAAACACAATTAAATCAAATCTACATTTATTTACATTAAAATTTGCATTTGAATCCTAATTACGGTAATATTTTGCCAACGTTAATGTAGTAAAAATTCTCAAACACCAAATGACAAAACAAACAGGACGCTC